ATTATGTATTAATCCACTAGAAGCAGTTTATGCAGAAGGCTATGTAATACAGTCATTAAAACCTGCTTTTTTTATATTTTAAAAGTCTTTCTATTACAAATTCAATTTTCAGGAGGGTAACAATCAATCAGCTGCAAAAATGTTGAAATTAGCATAACGGTCTTAGCTCAGAAACAAATTATTGTAATAAATTTGGTTTAAATTACTAACCATGTGCAAATTGTAAGAAGAGAAAATTAACATGTTTTTTAAAAAATTAAGATATTCTAAGTATTCCTTCAGTATTCCCATAAATTAAAAAATGGCATTAATTTACTATATCCATTCTCACAATCCGCAGCAGTCATAGGAATGTTAGGTATATTCAGGTCATAGTATACAGTGAAGGACGCATGGACATATCAGCAATGGCAGGACAGAGAAACATGGGTGGCCAGGTGGATGAACACCAAACCGGGGTCAGGTGAGGTGGACAGAGCTTGAGCCCCGGAAGGATCCCCTCTGTTCCACTGGCACACCCCACAGCCTATGCTCCCTAGGCAGCCTCATCTTCTGATAACACTGATTGGGCAAGAGCTGGCTGGAAGGGCTGGGGGAAGTCCAGCCCCCGATCCCTCCTGGTCATCCTTCTCCCTGTTCCCCTCCCCCGTGTCCCAGATCTCCCTTGCACCATTCTCCTATGCCTAATCTGACCCCTCTTACACGCCTAGAGTATGTCTACACTACCACCCTAGCTCGAACTAGGGTGGTAATGTAGGCAACCAGAGTTGCAAATGAAGCCCGGGATTTGAATTTCCCGGGCTTCATTTGCATCTCGCCGGGCACCGCCATTTTTAAATGTCCGCTAGGCTTCCTATTCCGAACTGCCATTACTCCTCGTTTCACTCCTCCTAGTCCGAACTACCTAGTCCGTGCCACGTGTAGCTGTGCGGCATGGAGTCTGCACTAGTGGACATTTAAAAATGGTGGCGCCCGGCTTTATGCAAATGAAGCCCGGGAAATTCAAATCCCGGGCTTCATTTGCAACTCTGGTTGCCTACATTACCACCCTAGTTCGAGCTTCGAACTAGGGTGGTAGTGTAGACATACCCCAATTCTGTCCAAGCCTCCAGCCACAGACTTTGCTATTCCTCCAAGTTTTGCTGTCTCACCCACATTCTGCACACCTGTGTCCTGCTTCTTCTCTATTCCAGCTCTTGGCTTCTCCCTCCCCCATCCAGTCTCCCCTCTTTGCTCTGGATAAACTTTCTTTCTTCCCAAGATGGTTCGGCTCAGGGAACCTGTTTCCCTGGCTGGGTACAATGCAAACAGAGATAGCATAGCCTTCAGGCTATGGTCAACTGAAGTGCGAGAGGAGATCAGTGTCCATATCAGTGACAGCTACTCACACTGGAACACAGGAACGAGATCTTGGCCCCATGTGCATGCCCAGCTTGGCAGGAAAAGCCCTGTGCCTGAGGAGAAGCTTAGCTAGCCTCTTAGATTTCCACTCCTAGCTATACCACAGCTTGAAAGTAGCATTAACTTGAGCTCCGTCCCTGCCCCTGCCTCTTCCTAAGAGCAGGAAATTTATGTGGCTAGGCATTCTAAGGCTAATAGTGGCACAGCTCTTAAAAGAGCCTGGCTACTAGGGAGGGGAAGAAGGCTGAGGATTCAGTGTTCTGAAGTGACAGTGAATGAAATATCCAGAGGTGAAGCCCTAGACCCCTTCCACAGGTATTTCTACAGAAGAGTACAATCTGACCATTTGAGTTGCTGTGTGTGAGACGTATAGACCATGCAAAGATTTTCTATCCCAGAAGTGTTGTGTTCAATGGAATATGTTCTGATTCAGGTAAATAATATGTTATTAAGAGCAGAATCACCAACAGCACAGACTTTGTGGTATAATTGGTTTAGTGCCCTTGTGGAAGGCTTATATTGGAAAAACATCAAAGCCTTTGAGAATAAAATTTATTGAGTACAAGAGCACTCTAAGATGTGAAGAATCAAAGTCCTGGTTGCTAAATATGTTACGTGAGGCACTGGCTGAGCTTCCCAATAAACAGTTTGCACTTTATTTGCACCTTGTCTCTGCTGTCACTAGATTCAGGCATCAGGGTGACAGAGAAAGAATATAGATTAAATTGACCATACTTCACAAAATATTTTTCTGTTTAAACCTGGCATTTACAGGGTATAGAATGTGCACAAATAATGAAAACCTTAAAAATAAAATCCTTTTGGACTGTAGTGAAGCTTGTGTGTTAGTGTTCATATGATCAGGGCAATCATGTTCTCACTTATTGCCAATTATTTACAGCAGAAGAGTTGAACCTGTGAACTAAGTTACAAAAAAAGTATTCCTTCTATTAAATACATCAAACCCTTAACATTTTAACACTCCTGTAGTATTTTTCTTTTCTCTCCTTTAATGACACATATTCCAGTTTGGTAGAACTATTTGAGCCTTAACGAATTGAGAAAAGTGTTCAGAAGAACATCCTGCAATTCCAGACTTTGAAATGTACTTTTTAGACTCGCTCTCTCTCTCTGGGTATGTCTACACTACAAAGTTAGTTCAAACTAACGGACGTTAGTTTGAACTAACTTTCATAGGCGCTACACTAGCACTCCGTTAGTTCGAATTTAATTCGAACCAACAGAGCGCTTAGTTCGAACTAGGTAATCCTCATTCCACGAGGATTAAGCCTAGTTCGAACTAGCTAGTTCGAATTAAGGGGTGTGTAGCCCCTTAATTCAAACTAGTGGGAGGCTAGCCCTCCCCAGCTTTCCCTGGTGGCCACTCTGGCCAACACCAGGGAAACTCTATTGCCCCCCTCCCAGCCCCGGACCCCTTAAAGGGGCACGGGCTGGCTACGGTGCCTGTGCCAGGTGCAAGCCTTCCAGCACCCAGCTAGCAGACCCTGCCCCTTGCATGGCTCGAGCCAGCCACCCAATGCCCCCGAACCCTCCCCCTCTTCCCGGGGCCAGGCTGG